AGACTCTGGAATTCGTCTCAACTAGTGTCATTTGTTTCCCCGCCAAGGCTGACAGAGGCTGACAGTAGAGCCCCTCCCCCTCCTCCTCCTCCGCTGTACTTTACTTTTCTCAGACTCACACCACCCTCGAGAAGCTTGTTCCCACTTTGAATTTCGCTCCCCGGAAATTGTTGCGCGAGCAGACACCGCACCGCTGTAGGGCGGGGCTCGACTCGCGTCTCTGAGCAGCGGCGGCTCGGGGAGAGAGAGAGAGAAAGATAGATAGAAAGAGAGAGAGAAGCCGCGCAAAACATATGCAGTGAGGAATAATATTTCGCTGTGCTCGGGTGGGTAGCGGCGGGCGCAGTACCTGTCTGCTGTCTCAACCATATGCAGTCCCATCGGGGGCGACTACCCCAATGCTTCTAAATTTCTACTTCAGTTTTGATTTCTTTTTCCTTGAGTTGCTCGATAAGCAGACTGAGAACATTTTTTTCCTGCCGGGCACTAGGACTACTTTGTTCCTGGCACAAAAAAGTTGGTTCCCGCCATCACTAAAATTAGTTTGTGGCAACAAAATTTTGAAGCTTGGCTACGAAACTTTTGTGCCCAGGACAAAATTGTTTAGTGCTTCCAAACTTCCGGTCTCGGGACAAAATGTTTAGTGCTCAGGACCAAAATTTTTTCGCAGTGTATTTCAAAAGAGTGTGTACTGTACACAAGGCACACATACACACAACTCCCTACCATTATTCATACATTTTTATCAACGACCATCAGAAAATGGGGTCCAAGTATGAGGGTCAGAATTTGTTTTTCCTCCACCATAATAGGATGTGACTGTACTAAATGCTTTTCCCCCAAACTCGCTAGATGAAGTTTCCGATGCCGCCCAGACGCGCTTATCTGTCGAGCCGCCCTACCGCCACCCGGGCGGCACGCGCCATGAACTCACCGCCGCCCTTCCCGGCTCCGTGCTCTCTGACGAGTAGCTGAAGACAACCCGCGCAGAATGACGACGCAAAAAAGTCCAACAAAGCAACTGTTTATCTGTTCGGGCAAATTTTTAATTTAGTGGCAACATTTTTGTTTTTGCAGCGAAATGTTTGCTGGCTTTGAGGCTTCTGTAAGTATAAAGTGGGTGGGTACTAGAGTGAGAAGAAAATAATTTATCTGTTGGAGAAAACTATCTTCTTCCGACGCGAAGCAACCACTTTGGTGAAACAGCGAAAACGTTTTGCTTAGACACAAAACAAAGTACAGCAAACTCACACACACTCGTTTGGCGCGCGTCTCTTTTCGCCTACTCACCGCCGCCGCTGCCGGTTGTGGGACCTGGGACCCGCTCCGCCAGCACGTGGGCGACACGTCGTCGGGCAGAATCCCACCACAGCGCCACCACCCTGTGTCAACAGCAGAGAGGTCCCTGAGACCAGCGGAGACCAGCCTGCTCTTCATTATGCCTCTCGGGGGTCGTGACGTCAGCCACGTGAGCTGCCCCGGGCTGCGCACGCGCGCCCACGCGCTGCAGGGGCGCAGCGGCGGCCTCCTGTACCGCGTTTCTGGACTACCGTCACAGCAGCCTAGGGTTTTTGCTTGATCGGTCAGCCCGTAAAAGTTCGCCCGGAAAGTACGTCCGCAGTTTTTTTTTTTTTTTTCACAAATTCATTCGGATGATTGAGGAAGCTAGGCGCCTGCGAGACGCAGGGTAGGCCAGTCCGCAGTACATACATGCACTGTAGGCGAGATGTTGCCCACCTATCAGGCGCTATGAAAGCTTTGCAGTGGCTGAACCTGGTAGGTTCTAAACGGAGAATGGCGGACGTATTTTCTGGATGGTCCATCAGGAGGACATTCCCCCACAGCAAATATATGCCCGTCATTCGCAGAGTTGCCGCCAAGTTCAGTCAATGGAAGCCCTCGTGTAGCGCCTGGTCGGTAGGCAACATCTGAGCTGCAGTGCACGCGTGCACCGCGGTGTGGCCTACTCCGAGTCTCGCAGGCGCCGAGCTCCCGTAATTTGACGAACCCCTTTCAGAACAAAAACGGACGTACTCAGTAGACAGAAAGTGTAAGCGTGTGTGCACCCCTTCCGAGGAAGAGGACGAGCCTGGATCCACCCCCGCGGCCCGCGCCACCGGGCCTGCAGCTGGTCAATGCTTCCCCGGTAATCTCGAACAATGGCGGGGCGGGCGCGGACGGCGTGCATATCGACAAGGTCGCCTCGCGTCGGCAGTCGACCGAACCGCCCGTCGGACTCTGCAGGGCCCTCAGCAGAACAACGGCCTGGACCGGGGTGACGCCGTGATGGTCACGTGCTTCACTGTCGCCCCTTTGCGCACGGATGGTCGGACTACGAAACAGGTGGATTGGTGTCAGAAATGCCAGGGTTTCATCCCTTATTGTCCTAAAAAAATACATTTAAAACTAAAGAAAAATCCAATAATAGAGAGGAGCAAAGAAAATACTGCTGTGGATGCGTGTGAGCGGAGGACGGCGGCGCTGTTTATCTCACCACCCGCAAAACAAATAAAATATACTACAGACATAGACTGACTCGGCCGCTGCGCGACAAACAGATCAGAGGTCAATCAGGGACGCTGGCAAGGGCTGCGCGGCGCGGCGTCGTCGGAGCGGGACGGGGCCACCATTGTGTTCTTACTTTTGCTCGATACGATAATTCTTGTTTACATTTTTTATACCCGCAGAAATGCAATGTTTTGGCGAGAGTGGCCTTTCTGATCCACTGGCTACGAGCAGCTGCAGCAGCAGGCTGTACTCGGCGTGGCACACAGTGTGAGTGTGACACAGAGTGTGATACGACTGGCGCCACGCAGCGCAAAAAACCTGGAGTCGCGATCCAGACCTTTGTATGTCGGCAATTCATTTCTTGATGTTTCAGCCCTCTGGTTGACTTCACGGCGGATGTGACCAAAGTCCACCGCTCTCGAGTAATTTTCCCCGCAATGCACAAGTCTGCATTCATCTAAACGACGCCCTGATTTCCGCCTCCTCAAAAACCCCTAAATCTATCGAGACACGACTCCGAACAGGGAGCGCACGAGACAATTCACCGAGATTACAGCTGTGCGGACGAGCGGCGGGGAAGGTGGCGCGACGTCACCGTCGCACAGTGTGCTGTGTGCAGTTTGATGAGCGAAGAAGTAGTGTAACATATGACGTCGTATCGGGGCCACGTTCCACCTCCATGTGCCTGGTGCATCCTGTCAGCATGCGGTAAGGCCTGCCGCCTGCCTGCGGCCGAATCGTGGTCCCTAGGCGGCCGCGGAGGTGGCGCGGGGGTGGGCCACCGCCGAATCCTGGGTCTGGAGCCGGCGGAGGCGGAGGCTATAAGTTCGGCGTCGGACCGCGGCCCCCGGTCCAGTCCAGTCAGCCACTGCACCTGTACCTGCGCTGCGCTCCCGGGCTGGGGTGAGTGAGCAGTGTTGTTGTTTAAGCAAAGGAAAAGAATAGAAGAGTCAACTAGAACTGGGGGGAGAAATTACAGTGGTGGTCGGTCATTCGGCTTAACGTTTGTAGAAACCGCTTCGAGCCGCTCGGTCGAGCCTTCACCACTACGATTTACTATCGGCTAGTGGGCGTGTCAATATCCTTGAGGTCATGTACCAAGGTTGAACAAAAGTAAAAATCTCTAGTAAAACGCTGGATCAGGAGGACCTTGTGCTGGGTCAGTCTAATCTCGCGGAACCCGATCGAGTACGAAGGAAAGTCGAGTCCGCCGTTTCTGGTTGCACTTCACCAGCACACTGTAATTCCTAAAGGCAACTTTTTGAGAGGTTGCCTTTATTGTTACTCCCCAGGCAGTGAGAAATCGTGAATGTTGCCCCTAGTAAGGCAACAACCGAAAGTGTCCGGGCTC